TGCCCCGGGCGACGACCAGGCCGCCGGGCGGCCCGGGGACCAGCCTAGCAAATTTGCAAATTATTTTCCTTAACAGAATGAATGCTACACTGTATTTCGCAACCAAATAGCAATGCTCCTGACGATGTTATTGGCGTGTACTGCACCCAGTTCTGGTACTTAATCTTCACGAGAGTCGGACCATTCGAGTGTGAATGTTTGTCAAACATCCTTGAGAGGCTGATTTTGGTGTGCTTGTCTGTACTTGTTTGCATCCCTGTTCTTTGTTTTCAGAGCAAAAATGGCATCATCAATGCAGATGAACATGTTTTCTCCAGGCGTGGGTGTCCAACCTTCGGTGACACCACCTGGATCACGACCAGGAACGCCGGCTGGTTCACAGGCAGGATTTCCTATTGGTGGACTGCAAATGGGACAAAATGGGACTCCTGCAAAGCCGTTGACCTCGCCAGGGACCGGTTCAGATGGACTGGGTGTGAAGTCTCAGCGGATGGTTCTGGGACAGGAGGCTGGTCCCATGGTGAACATCATGGGGCCGTGGATGATGCACGGAAAACCGGCGCCAACGCCGGAGCAACAGTATCTGCTTCAGCTGAAGAGCTTGCGGGCTATTGTTCAAGCCTATCAGAAGGTGAGGTCTTTTTCGGTCCCGGTACCAACTGGCCTAGCTCAGTTGGTTACGCCTATGAACTGTTCAAACACAGACCTGAGGTCCAATGGAATCACATGAGTGAAAATAACTCTGAATTTACCTGGAGCTGGTGAGGCCTATCAGAAGGTGACCATCGAGGTCCCGGTACCAACTGCCCTACCCTCTTCACCCGAAAATAACGCCCGGGCTAGGCTACCAGCCGGGGCGCTGGGGTCACCCTATTTTCCCAGGCGGCCCGGCCGTGCAAGGACCAGGGGAGGTCCCAGCCCAAAAAAAAAAAGAAAAACAAAATCCCGAAAATCCGGAAAAAAACTATGTTATCCAGAAAAATAAACTGAAAAAAAAAAGAAAAACAAAATCCCGAAAATCCGAAAAAAAACTATGTTATCCAGAAAAATAAACTGAACAACTTTTGCCTCAGGGTCACAACGAAATTCTTTACCAAATTTAACACAAAAAAAAATTCTTTACCAAAAAAAATAAATAAATAAAATTCTTTACCAAATTTAACACAAAAATTTAAATTAAAAAATAAATTTTATTTTTTTATATCTTTTTGGCCCGGCCGGGCATGTGGACCCGGGCCACTCTGGTAGCCTAGCGCTCGGGCGTTATATAAACTTACATTCAACTTACCCTAGAAAGATGAGATTTTCGGTTTTACTCATTTTTCTTTCCGAATAGAATGTCCCTTTGAATAGAACGCCCAGGCGTTGTATTTGAATACAATGCCCAGCCCTTATATTTGAATTTTCCATGGGCAGAGTGCCTTGAAGAGGGTAGGTATACATGGGTTTTAAAGGGCGGGGTAAGGGGTATACATGGGTTTTGAAGAGGGTTGAATGGGGTTTTGACTTCCAAGGGGTATATTTCGGCTTGATTCCCCCCCCCCCCCCCCCCCGAGTTTATAAGGAGATTCTGAAGTAACCCTCGTCCAAAACTTGGTCGCGTTGCAATCCTGGACGCCATATCTTTTTTTACAGATTTTTAAAATTGTATTGTTTTTTTGGAATTTTGTGGCCTCACCGAAGTTACCACAAATTTACTGAATATAACGCCCGGGCGTTATAGTGTTATAGACAAATATAACGCCCGGCGGGAATTATATTTGTACACAACGCGCGGGTGTTATTCTTGGGTGAAGACGGTGGCTCAGTTGGTATGCCTGTCAACGGTTCGAATTCGAATGGAATCACGTGATTGAAAACCTGCGTAGCACGGCGAATGTGTCCACGCCGATCCACGTTCCCGCGTTTGCACGAACAGCTCGCGAACGTGTTCGGGCGAACATAATTTTTTTTTGTAAAATATGACGATATGACGATATATATAGTGCCAGCGGCGTGTCTGGAGTGTATTTTTTGGCTGTGACAGACCTTTCTTTGTTTCGTGGATGTTTTGCTGGCTTGTGATGGGGT